CAAAGACTGTTTGTGATTACTGTTAATTGTAATTAATTCTGATTTATGGTGATTACTGTATTTTGGGATGTTACATCAATCAACAGTATTTACAAAATTCATTGGTAACTATTAATAAATATTTAAGGACTGATTTGATTTTGTATTATTGATAATCACTAACGAATAATTATTAATAAGTTTTGATAGGTAATAATTGTTAAAAAAATTCCTATTTATTAATAAAATTTATCAACTTACATATTATCAATAATTTTTTAACTTTTGATAAGTTGTAAATAATTTTAATTTTTTAAGAAATTATTCACAAATTTTATCCATGTATATTATTTGTACATAATAACACTTGTAAATTTATTTTCTAGAAAAAAAAAATGAGATGAATAAACACCCGCATGGTGAAATCATTAGAAGTATGACTAATCAAATATACATATTTTGAAGAATATTAATAGCTGATTGAATCACCTTTTCTCCCGCTTTTTGATGATCTGTAGAAAAATCTGATTCCATGTGTCTATAGGCCCTGGCAAGCACCAATGAACACAATCATTTTGCACACGTTCTGGAACACCTTTAGCAAATGGGAAAGGGTTCATATAAGGACCAGGGTGACCATCTGGTCTCAACAATGCCAATCTTGTTACATCAAGAATATCTAATCTGAAGCCTCCAAATTCAGTAGCTTTTGCCTTTGCATTCTCCACTTCTTCTATCTCAATCTTTCTGATCTCAGCATCCATGCCTTCAACTTCCTTCTCCTCCTTCTTATAAGGCTCAGTCTTCAAACAAGTTCCAGCCTTATCCCAATCACCTTCAAAATGAGCAGGTGAAAATGTTTTCACAATCACATCAACTTCACTCCTCTTTCTCTCAATTATGCTACTCAGAGTAGTCCTCAAAACCTTCCTCAATGGGACATAGAAATCCATCTGAGTATGATTCAGATCAGGACAGTTCAAGCTGCCAATAACCAAACCACCCTCGTAGTAAACAGAAGGAAGCAAAAACCAATGCCCAAATGACACTACAATCATGTCAAACCACTCCAAGTCCCTTGCCCATCTCTCATTAACATGATCCAAATACATGGTGTTGTAATAAGGCCCTTCGTTTGATCTTTCAACCCCTTCCACAAGAAAAGGTGACCAGTACAAGGACAAGTTTGCATTGTGAGAAGGGAAGTGCCAACGACGAAATTTGTTGTCATTGGGACTTTTGTAGACAAGCTTTGGGGTTGAAACTGTGGCTAGCATGCAAAGAAGAGACTCGAGTTGGTTCCTGGCCAAAGAGTCCCCAACAAATGCTACGTGTTTGTTCTCAACTACTTGGAGAAACGTGAGAGGTTCAAACCTTGGAAGATTGCATTCTTTGGGCTGCCATCTCCAATACAGATAGCCCAAGTCAGGTCTTCCATTGGAGATGCATTTCTCACTCTCTTTGATTGTGCCACATGTAGTTACATTGTATAAAGGACCACTTCTGTCATCAACCCATTCACCATTAGAGTAGTCACATGAATCATGGTAAACTTTTTCCCTTTCTGCCAAAACCAAACATCAAACGAAATAAAGTCTAGTAAACAACCATCTCACTAATTACACTTACCAGGAAATTAAAATGACAATAATGTTGGTGCAATTTAGAGGATGAAAGACAAAACAAAAGAAAACCACAAGCAATTCTGTAGTTTGAACAGAATGAAGGTGATGCACATACCTGAAGAAAAAGAAGGAGATGTTGAAGGCAGAGAAGGATGAGGAGAAGAAAAAGAAGGACGGTAAGTGGTGGTGGTTGTGGAATATTGAGTTATGGAGAGAAGGTAGAGGAAGGTACAAAGCAGAGTTGCAGGAAGCAGAACATAGGAAATGGAGAAAACAAATCTCTTTATGAAAGAAACCGATTTGTCTTTGAACAACAGAGCGCTTCTAATTTTTCTTTCTTCCATTCTTCCTTCAGCTCCTCATCACTGTTTTCTGGTGTTGTCGGTTGAGAAGAATGAAGAGAAACAAACAACTTCACACTGCTAAGGATAACTTTTTCAACTTCGTACTGTTAGATCTGCATGATCTTCTAATTTCCTGTGTCTCGGTTTTGGCATTTACACACATCAGAATGCTTCAATCATTGTCCCGGCCTTATTTAATGCAGAGAAGATAGAGAGGTCAGGACATGCAATCAACGATGTTAAACAGATTGATGTTTTTGTGAACAATATTATAAAATTGCTGTTCATTTTCTTTTTACGATTTCTTCAGTTTCTGTTTTTCTTTTCTCTTCATTGTGTGGTCCTGCTCTGTTTTTTTTTTTTCTTTTTACTTTTGTAAACTTTTGTGGAATTGGTTCATCATTCTGTCGGTTTTGGAAAGCCTTAACTACCGTGGTGATTACTAATTTGTTTTAGATATTGTTTTATTGAGAATGAGTATAAAATAAATTTGACTAATATATATTTTTGAAGTGATTTACTTATGTAATGTAATAGAATATTGAAATACATTAATTTAAAATTTTAATTATATACAATGAGTTATAAAATGAAGTTCAATTTGAACAGTAAAAATATAAGAAAAGAAAGCTGAATTAAATTATTTTAATATGTAAAATTGGACTAATAATATATATTCAAAATTGACGATGACAACCATGCTTACAAATAGTATCTAAAAAGTAGTGTCAAATAAAACTTATGAATAAATTTTTATATAATTATTAAAAAAAGACAAAACCAATTAAGTTTTCGATCATATTTCATTATATCTCAGTGTAATTGAAGTATAATAATAAACTTATTTTCCTGCATATCTTATCTCATGTTTACCTTCATCTTTTTTACACATGGTGGTAGTGAAAATAAAGAAAGATCTAGTTCGTAAATAGGACATGAACTTGGATCACGCTTTCCTGTTTGAAGACAAGTCGTAAAGGACAAATTCATAAGTCCTTTATTCAATCTCAAAAGTACTTTTTGTTTCAATGTTTAATTTGAAAAGCACTTCTTTTCTTCAACTCTGCTGTTTTTTTAAATGTTTACTCTGGTAGTGGATAGGTAAAACCTTCTTATGTTATTGATAAGTCTTTAATTTTATCTTCAAAATTTAACCACCCTGAAATAGGTCAAACATCAACGGAAAAAAATATTTTTTTATTATTTTACGAAATATCTGGCGTCTTGAACCAGGATATTATCGAGATTAGCAAATCCACTTCCAGAAATAAGTCATGTTTTGTGTAAATAGATGTGACTGAAAGTTTCTCCCAACTAATCAATGTTAATTGGAAACGTTCTTAAAACTATTTGGATTATGTGACGAGAAATAATATTTCGACATATACAAATTTTTTATATTTATTTAATATTATTTTTTATTAAAAAATACAAAAATTTATTTTTTATAATTATTTTATTTTTGTATTATGTATTAAATGTAAAAATGTTTATTATTATTTTTTTTTTACAATGTACGAAGGTTATTTAAATTGTGTTTTATAATATACAAAAACTTATAATAAACTGAGCAGGATAAACATGGTAACATATTCAAGGTCAAAATTCAAAACATGGCTTATTTTTTATGACGAGCCTGGTCGGTATGGGAACAACTTGCAGAGCAGAAACATTAAAGAATCATAGTTTATATATTATATATTATATATTATATATTATATATTATATATTATATATTATATATTATATATTATATATTATATATTATATATTATATAT